TGTAATATTACCATGAGTATGTCTATACTATGTTATCATGTGCTATAGACAATATAGATACGTTCATGATATTACTAATATGACCAACTGTTTCGTTACATATATATGTAACACGAGACACGTCAGTTCCTCTGCATACACCCAGCTTTTGTAATAGGATGTTTACTCAAGTATAAACTATGCACACTGCTATTCTGACAAGCAGTTGTTTTCTGCAGGGCAACCTTTGTTTTTTACCTTTAGCAGGTTTTACCTTTAGCAGTTTTTGTTTTTTAGCAGGTGTTGTGCTTTTAACCTGTAAATTCCTAAAGCATTCGGAATTTCAGGTAGCCAGCCTACCTCAACAATCACTCAGATATTGGTGGGCGATATAAGCTGATGCCCAGATGGATGGCACATGGTCACTTGATTTCAAGAACAGCCGAGACTTCGGTGGTTCGGTAGCCACTCTCAGAATTACCTTGAGAAAAACCAATCGTTCAGCAAAAATCGTAGCAAAAAGATCGAAAAAACTGGAAAAAAATCGATTATAATGACTCATGGAAGAGCCCACGCACTTCGGAAGACCGAAACATGAACCACGTCGTAAAACGCGAGGCGCGCGTGCGCGCGCGTGCGACGACAAACACAAAGTCGAGACACGGCACGCGCCTAATCGCCGCTCGACCGCGATGTGCCACACGGCTATGGCAAGCATTTTGTATCACAATTCGAGAAACAAAGCTTCCTGGCTAGAAACCTAGTTTCTTGAAGAAGAAGGGGGGATATATAAAGCAAGAGTATATATGGGAGAACTCCCATTATATAGCATATCTCCCATTATATACTCTTGGTAATGATATATGCCTAAGTTTTGATGCGAAAATAAACGTTTCAGATCTGAAAGTCTGAAATCTTGACGAGAGATGGTGCTACGCCGCCATTTTGGTTTTCGAATATTGCGCAAATAAAAACAATAAAATATTCCAGTCAAATTACTGTAACGAAGAATCTAAACCACAATAATACACGTATATAGGTATGATTCATTGTAGAGTTGTTGACCATTTAGACGAAATAAACGTAATAGGACGTTGTCATCTCTCCCATAGGAGTAACAACTGTTTTGGGGCTAGCCTTACACATATATACCCAAATTTAACAAAATCGAATGAATCTAGATGGCCATTTTAATTTTTGCCAAAAAGTGGGCATGACTCGAAAGTAGGTCGACTGGTGTGCAAAATAGGACGTTCAAATCTCTCCCATAGGAGTAACAACTGTATGCAATTTGAAACATGTGGGTCAAACGGTTCTTGAGTTATCGTTAACCGTAGGCAGACACTGAAATGCATAGTGAAATTGCCAAAATCTACCTAATTTGCATAATTTTTAAAAAAATATCAAAACCTGTGTGATATGTTTCTTGCAAAGAAACTTGGTTTCTCGAATGGTGATACAATACGCGGTGCCCCCCCTGGCGTAATCGCGCGCGTGAGACATCGTAGGTTACATTCTCGTTTCGAGCGAGCCCTGCTCGAGCTCTCTCAGCACGCAGTCGGGGCAGGCGAGGGGCACGAAGCCCGGAGCCTTGTACATGCTGACGATGAGCTGTGCGGTCTGCGCGGGCACGTGCGCGTTGCCCTGCAGCGAGCGCTCCAGCTTGCCGAGAACCGCGTCGGCGAAGACGTGCCGCGCAAAGTTGTGCCCGCACGAGAACAGCGCCACCTGGCGGTCGTCGGCATCGCTGCCGTCCGTCTCCTGCCGCAGACGCTCGACGTCGGCCGCCGAGAGCGCGACATGCTGCGCGGCGCCCCCTGGCTGGATCCGCAGGCTCGTCATCACCTCCGTCCACAGCCGGTCGGCGGTGACCGGCGGCGCGGCGGACGTGACGCGCCCGCCGCCATCTTGCTTCGCGGCCGGCGGGGACTTTGCGGAGTCGTCGTCGTCGCCGTCGCCGACGATCTGTTTTACGAGAGGTGTGCTCAGCTGCCCTTGCTGTATCTGCTGCGCGACGGCGGCTACGACGTCGAGACAGAACGTGTCGGACAGCTGGCGATCAAGTCTCACGTGGGGGCCGTCCGGCATGTCGATGCCCCTGCCACGACGGAAAACACAAGCGATCGCGCGTGAAACGGGCTGCAGATGGAGAGCATTTACAAATACGCAGTGGCTACGCGTCCGGTCATCCATTACAAAGCTCAGCACAGATTCCCAAATCCACGTCACTTTATTAGGCCACGCGACTTTCAAATCGTTGATTTTACTGGATTTTCTAGTATTGCTTCAAAAGTTACAAAAACACATTTTTTTGATAAAATACCTAAAGGTAAATAATATTATGGTAAAAACTTATTGTTTATTACTGAAAAAATACAGTTGGGTTCACATAAGAAATATATGACCGGACGCGTAGCCTGGGAGCTGGGAGTCCGGTAACCGGACTCAATTAATGTTGAGAATATTTGGAATATATAATCCCAGAATACCTAATTACCCAATTAAATTAGGTATTCCCTGATTAAATAACACCCGTGAATGCTAAAAGCAATAACTCTTTGGATCGTGGCTGCAGATGAGAATACTTCTTCTTCTCGTTGTCAGGATTATCCAACTAAATAACATCCGTGAATGATAAAAACACTACCATATGTACTCCCGTAATAACCGCAAATTTGGCCTCAGATTTCAACCCTGTATTTGCTCTGCGGTCTATAAGTGCGCCATACCATGATGGGAAATATACTAGGCGCAATACTTGGTTACCCGATTCAAAATGAGGTGCGGCTTATAGGCGCCCGCGGTTATTACGCGATCATATACGGTAGGTAGATCGTGTTTGGATCATGGATACGGGTAAGAATATTTTTTCTTCTGCTGACCAGAGTGTCAGGCTACGGCCAAAGACTTGCATCACTGCAGAGTATTACTGTGGCCTGGTGACATTATACACACTAATAGTCGCTTGAACAATTCTTGCTGAACGACCGATTTTTGTGCCTAAAAATGATTTTAAGTCATACCTGATTATGTAAATGGCTAGGGATGGAGCTAGTGTGTCCAGCTGCGACCGTAAAGTGGTCTCGAGGTCAGAGAGTGGCAGCTTGTGTGTTAACCAGAATTTCAGTGCAGCTTCAAGTAGTTGCAGCCAGTCGGGTGGTGCAGGGAGACCCATCTCATCCACGCCATCAGCCTCCACACAGTTGCTGCACACAAACACGGCAATATTTCACAACAATAATCCATTATAATAAAACCAGCAGACACCATAACCCATCAAAAATCATACGGACATCAGAACACATCAGAAGCTCTGGGCATTTAACAGCGCTATTTTTCATGCTGCACCATTTTCAGTATGGGATTACCAACTCCACGCGGATTACCTAACTAAATATTTCAAATAACATTGCGCAAAGCATAAAAAGCGCCAGTACGTGCGCACAGTTGTCTTGAATAGCGAAACAGAATACGAGCGAATACAATAGCGAAGCAGATACCGTATGTAGTGCTGCACGACAAGGCAAGCGACAGTCGTCAGTTCGGCGCGCTCTGGTGGCATCTGCTCGAGCGCGGTGAGTCGGTATTGAAGCGCGAGAGGCAAGTCTCCGCGCAGTGCGGCTACGTCGGAGGCGCTGTCCCACAGATCCTGCTCCACACACCGGCCCTGCACGCGATCGCGGTCGTACAAGCCCCACAGCCGCTGCCGAAGAAGACAGAGTCAGCACATAGTGCCAAAAGGACAGTTTGTGTCAAAACCCACACGACATAAATGCAAGCGCCACAGCCGCTCTGCCTCAGAGGATAAGATTCACTCACAGGGTCGGCATAGTGTCGAAAGGACAGTTTGTCTTAAAACCCACACGACATAAATGCAAGCCCCACAGCCGCTGCCAGAGAAAGATTCACTCACAGGGTCGGCATAGTGTCGAAAGGACAGTTTGTCTTAAAACCCACACGACATAAATGCAACTTCATTTGTAAACAACAGCCTCAAGTCAATGTCAGCAAGCAACATTTTTGTGAATGTATACAAGAAAAATCTGTAGCACGAAATCAGTAGTTTATCCGGCAATCTATGAGAAATTTTATTGGAAATCACTGCGGAAATCAGGTTAGTGGTGATTAAATTAATCCTAATTAATAAAAAATAAAAAATAAATTTTTCTAGGAATCTTTTCGTGCAGCACAGCCTAAAGCAAACGTTCTTATGCCAACTACTAGATAGATAATCCTGACACAACAGATGCGCATAAGAAATACGAAGGTACCTGTAAGGTCTGCCTTAGTATGGATGCCCAGTGCTCATCGTCTAGGTCGTGTGGTAGGCGAGGTAACTCGAGATGAATCAACCCTCTCTCTCCCTCCTGAACGTGCCAGCAGAGCATACGAAAAGAGAAATCGCTTGGTACAAATTTCACAAAATCTTGCCACACATTTAGAGATGTATTCATTATATTGTGAGTTTTTTTCAGCTGTGAAAAGTTAGAAGAACCTGACAAAGACTACCAAAAGTCGAAACTAGTCATCCATGTCCATTGCTAACTTTGTGCAGCATTTTCTCAACATAACGTTTATTAAACCATATGTAAAACGGCATTATCCAACCAGCAAATCAAATCCACGTGGGGTAACACAGTAGAGCTGTGCTCCGTAGAGGCACGCATGTCCATTTAGAAATATATGTATAATACGTGTCGAATGCTCTTCTCAGATGAAGTATCATCTTTCCACGGCATATGTCGCCATATGTGATACATAACTTTCTAGCATGGCTACCGGTCACACAGACTGTACAAGGCAACATTTGTTTGCAACGCCTGCGCTTCGTAAAACTTGACACTCTACGCAATAACAGCGGAACGCACAGTGCAAACCACATTCCAAACGTGACATTTCATCATGCGCATGCAGTAGTAATCCTCGCCACGCATGCAACGTATGCATAACTCGATCTTGTCACGTCACCTGCATAGACATGCACGACCGCTGGGGGCATCAACGGCTGATTACCTGTCTGTGTAAGGGTGGGATCTCAGGTACATCCGGTACGTGCTGCGGTTTCAACACGCCCAGCCGCAGATTAATCGCCCGCGACGGAATGCTGATCACTCGTCTGTTCGTTTTAACCATCACGTTCTGGGCACCAGGGGGCAGCCTGATGAATGGTTGGCTTTCGGCTCGGGGCGGGTGACCCACCTGGAGACAGAGCGACAAACGTTCAACTAACGATTCACATCGTAGTTGTCTTCAGTGTTTTCTTCCTCAGTTTCCTTATGTAGTATGTTTACATGTACTTAGTTTGCTTACCTAGTATACTAGCTTACACGTACGATTACTACAAATATTGTTGCTGTTGCTGCGGCTGCTGCTGTTGCTGCTGCAGCTGCTGTTACTGCGGCTGCTGTTGCTGCTGCTGCTGCTGCTGCTGCTGCTGAGATTCATGACTTTAATTATCAATCTTTTTAAATGATTCCATGCTGAGCATGGTAACTTTAGCTTAACTATTCCTAATACATAAGAAAGTATGATAGCATAATGGTATAAGAAGGTTTTAGACAGTTGATATCTTAAGACTCATGAACAATGATACAGTACACAGCACAATGAATTAAAAGAAGCTGCTGTTCCGGGTAATGGTAATGCTGATGATGTTAACGCCAATAGTTATACATTCCATTACTTTTCGGTGCGAGCTCTTGAGAGCTCCAGAAATCCGAAGAAACCACCTCACCTCACACTCATGCTTACCTCACCATTTTCGTTCCTTCCCCAGGCCCAGACTTTTCCGTCCATGTCTATGACGACAGTGAAGTCACTGCCACATGCTACATGTTCGATTTTTCGGTCAATAAGGCACAGTTCTCTGGTGGGCACAATCTATAACAGATAAGAGTGACTGCTTGATCCTATATTTTTAGCAAACAAGAAATAAACGTTGAATAAAACACTTCTATGTACTAACACATGATAATAAAATAGATGTGATAACAGGTAATATATTATTGGTAATAAGTTATAATTATCTTGTTATCTAATTTCTCTCTGATTGTGTTAGTGTCCAAGCGTTGGCCCCATGCTGTGAAAACCCCTTCCATACACGAAATCTCTCACAGCCATTAATGACACATGGTCACACCACAGAACCAACGGATCATTTATAGATTTTTTTCAGACTTATTAACATGTGGTTTTCACACACCTGTGATTTTCTATCACCTGTTCCTAGCTGACCATCCATGTTTTTGCCCCACAGGTAGAGAGCACCATCATCAGAAAGAATCGCAGAATGGGTATTTCCACAGCTAATCTGTAATGGAAAGCATTCAGAGTAAAACAAATGCAAAAATACCCCCACGATATTTGCACATGGTTAACTATAGATGTATGCACGCAGCACATCACAGCCGCAAAAACTGTTACCGTTTCCTCCATGGAAAACTATGGAAAACAGATCAGCAATCGTATATCACGCAGAAATAAAGCAGAAACAACCTAGCTCAAAGTTAGTCCCATTCCTCGCTTCCTCGACCTACCTCTCCTCGTCCCGGCATTTCCTTCTCTGCTCACGGCCAGGGCGCTTCTCTCTACCGCACTCCTTCTCGCTGCTCACTGCGCCAGCATTTCTGGCCTCTAATCTCCGTCTCTCTCTCCCACTAGCACTCAGTGCAAAACCTGAAACAGTGCCCTGGCGTAATATTCACCCTTTACCTCTCCCACACCAGCGCTCTCCCCCACTTCTTCAGAGCGCAGGCCTCTGATGAGACAGCGAGCGATTCGCCCTTCCTCTTCCTCAAAACTGAGCTTCTCACCACCCTTCTCCTTCTCGCTCACAACTGTCGAACGTCTCAGAGTGTCCGTCCCCTAGTTGCTTTCTCCTGCTTACACCTTTACCACCGGTTGCGAGGCTTCTCCCCTCCGTAATTCTGCTTCTCGGTCCTTGCCCTTCTGGTCCTCGCCGTCTCCCTGCTCCTGGCCGATTACCGTCCCTATCCTACTGCCACCTTAGTCTTACCTGCCTTCCTTGCTTCGCCTCACACGCACCATTTTCGCCGCCACCTTCCTCGCTCACCCTTTCCGCCAGGTCCCAACCTTTTGTGAACTGTCTAAAATGCGGCTCAATCGCACAATCTCTCGACGGCGGGGCCAATAACTCCTTTGCCGCTCAGCCGCCAGCCACGTAGTTACTCACCCGCCGGCCTGGCGCCCGTCAGCGAGGCGCCTCAGTGGTAGAGGGTCTGGGGCAATGCCACGTCCCAGAAATTTTTGAAATCAATTATTTTAAGCCATATTTCCTGCAAATCGCAGGCATACTGGGCCATATCTCATCTCTGAGAACACCGGTGTGGACCTTCAACTAGCACTCAACCCCTCACAGCTTACGGATTGAAAACCCAATCCAGCCACCACGGAGTTCATTTTTAATAATACGTGGTATTTAGTAATCGCTCCAAAATGAAATCTTATACATGAACTAGGTATTTATCAGTAAGCTCGAAAACCTGCAGGGAAATGGATCCATTAAAAGTGGAGGACCTTAGGAATCTATTAGGGATCTTTAACTATACAGACAAATGCGCGACCCATTGTCTTACGTACTTAGACAGGCGCGCCTCCTGTCTGACTAGAGGGCTGTTGCTAGGCTGTTCCCAGGTCTTGCTTACGCGAGTAGACACTTGCAGATAACAAAATCGCATAATAGAGAAACGGAGGCTACGACAGTCTTGGATACGCTAGAGCCACGTCTGCTGCCGACGGTCGCTGAGACCGATGGTAGGGGGGCGGGACGGGGGGGTGCCAGAACCTATAGCTTAAAAAGCTAGACGGCTTACTGCCTCGAAAGTATTCATCGGCTTTGCTATAGCGCTGACTCACTTGTCCCAAAGAAACGAGCGAGCTGTACCGGCCAGCGGCTGTTATGAACTTGACTACTGCTACTTTGCTACTTCCTGATGCTTAATCAACCTTCGGCTCTCCTGACAAGCTTCTCTGCTGTTCAGGCAGTTCTAACGCCTGGTGAACGTGCCGTGCGTAAATATTCCCGCCAGCCTCTGAGAGACACAGTCGATATGGCGTGCCGCACAGTGCGAGCGACGTACTCGTGCGTAACTATACCCCCAGGCAGCCGTCTGAATGAGAACCAGCGTCGCTGCGCGGGGACACTAGGACTGCGCAGTAGAACTGCGCCTTGCGTAATATTCCCACACTGCAGCCTCTGATGAGACAGCAAAGATCAAAAGCGCGGGTACAGCTTATACCACTGACGACATGCCTACGACTCGCTACACGGCAAGGCGAGCGCTGGCGACAGCCCGGGCACGCGCCGAAGGCAGTGCTCAAAAACGCGGGAGATTGAGCGTGAACGTGCCTTCTGATGACAGCACGCGCGCGCGGCGTGAAAGTGCCTATTCCGCAGCCTTGAACAGCGTCAGCCGCCGCCGTTGCGTAATACTTCCCTGGGTACTGCAGCCTCTGATGAGCACACGCACTACTCGCAGCTAGATCGCTGCGCAGCAGGCACCGCGACAACCCCGTTGCCTGCTATATACGGCCCGCAGCCTACTGATAGAGACAGATTAGGTCACGCCGGCCACGCGTGAACGTGCCCTGCGTAATATTTCCCGAACAGGCCTGATGAGCAAGCGATACACAGCCGCACGCGCCCGGCCGTGAACGGTGCCTGCGTATATTCGCCCCCGCAGGCCTCTGATGAGACAGGCGATCGCAGGCGCCACAGCATGCAGGATAGCGGCGTGAGACGTACCTGCGTAATATTCCCCGCCAGCCATGACTGAATGAAGGCAGGACGATCCGCCGGAGGGCCGGCCGGGTTAGCATGCCGGTGAAACGTACCTGCGTAATATGTTCTCAGCGCAACGCCAATGCCAGATGAGCAGGCGATCACCGCCGCATGTGGTGAAAACGTGCCTGGCGTAAATATTCCCGCAGCCTCTGATGATACAGTGCATCGCGGCGATGAATCGTTGCCTGCGTAAGGGGGTATTACCCGGCAGCCGTCTGATGAGACAGTGGATCGCCGCGCGCATGGAACGTGCTGCGTATATTCCGACTGCACACTTGTGGATGCCCAACGGGCGTCGGTACCGGCGCCCATGTGCGAGAAAGTGTCCTCCCCTTCCGATCCTCCCTCCCGGCCTCGCCTCACCTGCTTACTGTCGCCGGATTCGCAGTCTCACTTCTGCTCTCCTCTTACTCCTTCCTGCTCCCGCTCCTCCTCCTTCTCGCGTCTCAGACCTCCTCAACGCCCCATATCTCGGCGGCCTGGCTGTATGCGCGTCTGTAGAGTGGCGAAGTTGGTCGGCCAGGACGTCCGAAGACAAAACGGCAAGCGTCGGTTCTGGAGCGCTACGGAATCGAGCGGAGTCAGAGCGCTTCCTCTCCTCATCTATCGTCGTTGCGGCCCGGCCGCTGTCGGACGCCGCGCACGCGGAGATGCACGGCGCTCCTGACAGGCGTCGGACGCGCGAGCCCGCGCGCGGCGGCGGCCGGCGGCGCGGGCAGCGGTCGGCCTCCCTGCCGTGCGCGTCGTGGACTTCGCAGAGCGCGCTGCCTCGGGCTGCACGCCCACGTCCAGACGGCGCGCGATGGGCGAGCCACGGCGCACCTGCAGCGAAATCGTTCGTGCGGCTGATTCAATGTAACATCGTTCATAGGCGTCCTGATTCGCGATATAAATCGAGTCGCAGACGTGCGAATCGTTACGGCAGCTTGCTAATGCACGACTAAACACGAATTATGAGGAAAATGAAACGTAATCGAACGTAATTTGATGTGATCGAAGACAATGTCGGGAGTAACCGTGTCCGTCACAATGTCGTGCGAACACAAATACATCGCTATGGAAAATGCGCGAGTATGTCGGAGCGCGTATGTCGTTACAGCAAAGACTAAGTTTTGAAATACGTACGAGAAAAGCGGATCGGTTAGTGGGTGCTAGCGACGATTATCCTCATGCCGTGTGCTTAACATTCATGGAAGGAATCCGGGCTTGAAAGGTATACTGCACGGCTCGGGAGTGGGCACCATAACCGTACGGAGTGGTCAGTTTCATGGAGATGGCCGGTCCGAGTCCCAGCTGACCATACGCGCCGCATCCAAACGTGAAAACTTGGCCCTGCAGATCACAAAGATCTCTTCACCGACGGAACAAAAACATCGACAAAAGAACAAAAGAATCCTTCCACCAATCACTATACCGCAGTATAAAAAAATCAATTAAATGAAAGTGTCAATGACACTAATAGCTCACGCAGCACATGAAAGTTGGAATGACGAAGCTGGTAGCTCGACCATGGGGTGATGAATAGAAGAGGAGGGGATATATAAAGCAAGGTATATATGGGAGAATCCAGCATTATTACATATCTCCCATTATATAACTCTTGATAATGAATATACGTGCCATAAGTTTTTGCAGGTGCGAAAATAAATGTTTTCAGATCTGTAAGTCTTGCAAATCTTGAACGAGAGATAGCGCTACGCCAAATGATGAGCCATTTTTGGTTCCGTCGAATATCGGCGCAAATAAAAACAATAAAAAATAGTTCCAATCAAATTACGGTAACCGAAGAATCTAAAACACAATATTTACACTTAATATAGGTATGATTGTAGAGTGGTTGACCAGTTAGATCGAATATAAACGTAATAGGACGTTGTCATCTCTCGCAACAGTATTAGAATGACAATTTGTGTTTTCAGCCTGAAAACAATGGGCGAAGCAGGCCTGGTCAGGGGGTTCAGGTAGTTTTTGAATTTCACATTACAAGCATAAAATGTGCATTAGGAGGACAACATACAGGAACAATAACTTGTTCACAGAGCGATATTACAGGTACACTGGGCAGAAGAGATATATCTTGCACTAGTCAACTAATCGCATATACACATGAGAATCGTAAATAATGCCAATACGACAAAATTTACTTAGCCATTCTGGCAAAACAAAATTAATTTTAATGTAACAACTTCGACACTGTTCCAAAAGGCTGTAACCTTTATATAATATAAGATGTTCATTGTCCAGGCAGTCAAAATTTGTTTCTCTGATGGCACTACAGTAGCTATATTCAATCATATTGAGAACAACCTTATCAGCGGAGGCTTGTACTGCTGCAAAGGCAAGTCGTGAGCCCCG